TAAGGCAATTTAATACAAGTTGAAGGCGTCTTAGGTGTTCTTCAAAGCCATCTCAAAAAACGATGATGTCATCGAGGTAACACAAGCAAATGGTCCACTTAAGACCCTTCAGAAGATTATCTATCATTCGTTCGAAGGTAGCTGGAGCATTACATAACCCAAATGGCATTACTTTGAACTCGTACAGTCCATCTGGAGTTATGAATGCTGTCTTCTCACGGTCCGATTCTTCTACGTCGATTTGCCAGTACCCTGATTGGAGGTCCATGGAAGAATAAAATCTAGCTCCCCGTAAGCAGTCTAAAGTGTCGTCGATCCTTGGGAGAGGGTAAACATCCTTCTTTGTTATTTTGTTAAGGCGGCGGTAATCGACGCAGAATCTCCAGCTTCCATCCTTTTTTCTTATCAATACTACAGGCGAGGCCCACGGACTTTCAGAGGGCTGAATGATGTCAAGTTTTTCCATCTTGTTTACCTCTCATCCTGAGTAATTTGGCGTTCTCTTGGTGCAACTCGGTAAGGTCTTTGTTTGGTCGGTAGGTGGTCTCCAGTGTTAATTCGGTGTTTAACATTGACGTCCTTGAATTGTTTTCTTTTACTAAATTCGAAAATATCCGTATAGTTTTTTAACAAATTTCTTAATTTTTCTTTTTGAGATTCATCAAGTGAATCATCTATAAAAAATTCCGAGATTTTTGGGTCTTCAGAATGTTCCGCCTCTGTTTCAACTTGGTTACAATCAGCTAGAGTACATAATTGACTATCTTCGATGACAGCACTATCGGCTACATGCATCCCCTGTGGGATTAGTTTCGGATATGGACTCCAATTCACCACCCAAAGTTTACCTCGGTTATTGGTAAGTGAAATGACAGAGGAGGGAGCCGTTAGTTCTCTTTCCAGCAATATCTCTTTTCGACATTCTGCCACCACAATTGCGTCATTAGGAATGTCACGACTTGCTACTTCTATTAACTGAATAGAGGCGGGTTCGATTCTATATTCCAATTCCGAGTAGAGAGGTGAGCTGTTCTTAGGGGTATCCTCAAAAAGACATTTTTCTATGAAGAGTGTGTCGTCAGCTGAATCAATTATCGCCCTAGATAACTTCAAAAAGTTCCAACCAAGAATAACTTCGTGACTACAGTCTTCCATAACGACAAATTCAAAGCTTTCCTGTAGTCCATTCAAGTCCAGTTTCAGTGTGCAGCGTCCTTTTGGTCTTACAATTTTACCGTTGGCTACTCGTAATGTGACGTCAGTTTCGGCAAACATTATTTTTCTTAGTTTGAGTCTGAACCTCTCAGAAATGACAGAATATGAGGCTCCTGAGTCGACGAGGGCACGCGTCATTTTTCCTTCTATTTTAATGTCTATGTAATTTTCTTTTAATTCTAATGTGGTCGACAAGGGAGGATTTATAAATTTTGCGGCCTTACCTCCAAAATAGGACGCATCTTCTAGTTTTCCTGACGGGAACGGCGAGGCGACTGGCTGGGTCATCTATCAGGAGACGAATATTGTCCTTTTCGGCCAGTGTAAGGAGAGGGGCTTCGGTAGCGGCGTCTATTTTCTCTTGGCAGGTCGTCGTTGGGCTCTTGGCTGCTCCGAGAATTATAGAATGTTCTAGGCTCTAGCCTATCTCTCTGCTTGTAATTCCAAGTTTGTTCTCCTTCATATTCTCTCCTCCTGTCACGGCAGTAGCGCACGACGTGGCCAGGGCGTCCGCAGTGGAAACAGATTGGCTTACCTTCCGTGGTTCGCCATTCGTTGGTATCGCGTCTTCCGTTTACTTGTTTTGGCTGCTGCGGTCTTATCGTTTGGGCCACATATCTATTATTATAAAACTCTCGGGGTCTTTCCTTCTGTGGGGAACTTCTCCTAGGCTTTGAGATTGGCGCCAGGGTTCTTCCAATCTCCTCCTTTACCATATCTTCGATGGTAGAAATTTTTGGTTCCTCTCGAGTAGAGCCTAATGCCCGCTGTACCTCCTCACGAACAATTTGCCTGATCATAGATGACAGATCTGCCCTGTCATCATGATCACTGAGAGATGCCACATTTGGTAGTCGCTCGTATTTGGTAGGGGTCACTCGCTTACAGTGTAGGCTTTCAATGCGGCGACATTCGGTGACGAATTGCTCAGTGTTATGCACATCCCTTGGGAGAAGTGCCTGGTAGAGCTCCTCAGCTATCCCTTTCATCAGATGGGATATTTTATCTTCCTCATTCATTTGTGGATCTACCTCTTTGCAAAGGCGCAGGACGTCTTGGATGTAATATTCGGTGCTTTCTCCTTTTAATTGTGCGCGAGTTTTGAGTATTTTCTCAGCTCGCAGTCTTGAGCTTTCATTTTTTCCAAATACATTTTCTAATTGTGACATGAACTCCGTCCATGTCTGGATGCTTTCCTCGTTGTTTTCATACCATTTGAGAGCAGTGCCAGTAAGATAGAAATAAACGTTAGCGAGACAAAGGGTTTCATCCCATTGGTTGTGCTTCGCCACACGTTCATACCCTTTTAACCAGCTACGGGGATCTTCAACACCCTCACCAGAGAACATTGAGGGGTTTCTAGGTAGATGTTGGACAAAAAATGAACCTACCTGAGTAGTTGCTTCTTTCTTGATGTTCATGGTTTTTTCTTCTTGCTCAACCGAGTCAATTTTCCGTTTTTTTCTGAATGGGTATCGATCCAGCTTCTTCACCAGTTGTAGCGTAAAAATCAAGTCTTGAAATATCCTAAGATGTAAAAGTATTTATTGATGACGTCACAGCGACGAGTCGACAATTATTAACAAGTCAGCAAAAACTATATACCGCTAGAGAATCTTAAGCAAGCAAGCAAAGAAATATTTTAAAGATGATTTCACAAATACAGATTAATATATATTTTTATAATCTGTTGAATATATTTTCATTGAATAATATTAAATTAAATAATAAAATATTTCTTCGCCACAATATAATGCGGATATACCTTTTTAATTAAAGTTCTAATTATGGATTACTTTATTTTCAATACGCTATATATTCTTCATACCTTTTGATCATATTTGATATTTATATTCTTTCACATTACTATCCCTTTCCAATAACAAAATATGTTTCTATGTTAAATACATAAAAAATAACATGTTTCACTCTCTATTTACCTTTCTTCTCATATATAAAAGTCAATGTCTGTTTCGCGATAAACTCAAAAACTACTGAACCAATTGGTACCAAATTTTGCATGTCTCTTTTTATAAACCTGAGGAAATTTTTCGGCTACATTTTGATTAGTATTTTTGGCTATTCATTTTTATTTTATTTGAAGAACTTTTTTTACACGGAGTAAATACGAGGCGAAGTAACACCAGGCCAATTAAGCTACCAATGAACGTTCTGCTTCTTTTTTTTTTTTTTTCAAGTTGCTTGTGTACTTTTTTTGAAATATATTTTTATACGAGTGTTACTTTTTTTTACAAAAGTATTGATTATTGAGAAAGAAATTTATATTACTAAGTTATGGTAAGTGCACACAATGCAATTTTTAAAAAAACTTTACAAAATTAGCGTTACTGTATGTAAATAATGCCTTTCGTATTTTTTATTAATTTTTGTACTGGCCTTTGTTTTTTTTTATCTCTTTTTTAAAAAAATCGTTTAAAATGCAGTCGCAGTCATTAACAAACACATGTTTATCTAATTTCCATGTGCTCTTTTATTTTTTATAGAAAAATATTTACATGCCAGTATTTTGGATTAATTTTTATAAACCTATTTTTTCTTATTCTTACTGATAAGATGGGCATCGTAGTCAAGATCCATCGCAGTCACTCACTCAACTCAGGCAATTTCAAGGGTTAATGCGCTGGGGCGGATACCTCGGGGGTTGGGTGGAAAAGCTGTCATCTACTCAAACTATTTTGGTTTTGCAACAACTAAATGAATTGCAAAAAATAATTAAATCAAATAAACAATACTTAAAATTATACCGCATAAGTTTCTTTTCTATGAAAAATCAATATTTATTTTAAAGAGAAATATTTACTATTTCTAACTTTTTGAATGAAGTATGAAAGGGTGAAAATATGAAGAGTAATGGCGAACGGGAAAAATAAAAGTGTCCAGGGGCGGGAATCGAACCCACAACCTTCTGCTTACCGGGCAGGTGCCATGTCCACTAGGCTACCCTGGACGTTATTTCTCCGTTCGTAAATAATACTTAAAGTAACTTATAATTCATTATAAAGGACTGCGGCGTGTGATTATAAACAATGCTTAAAATTATACCACATAAGTTTCTTTTCTATGAAAATCAATATTTATTTTAAAGAGAAATATTTACTATTTCTAACTTTTTGAATGAAATATGAGAGGGTGAAAATATGAAGAGTAATGGCGAACGGGAAAGTAAAAGTGTCCAGGGGGGGAATCAAACCCAAAACCTTCTGCTTACCGGGCAGGTGCCATTTCCACTAGGCTACCCTGGACGTTATTTCTCCGTTCATAAATAATACTTAAAGTAACTTATAATACATTATAAAGGACTGCGGCGTGTGATTATAAACAATACTTAAAATTATACCGCATAAGTTTCTTTTCTATGAAAAATCAATATTTATTTTAAAGAGAAATATTTACTATTTCTAACTTTTTGAATGAAGTATGAGAGGGTGAAAATATGAAGAGTAATGGCGAACGGGAAAAATAAAAGTGTCCAGGGGCGGGAATCGAACCCACAACCTTCTGCTTACCGGGCAGGTGCCATGTCCACTAGGCTACCCTGGACGTTATTTCTCCGTTCGTAAATAATACTTAAAGTAACTTATAATACATTATAAAGGACTGCGGCGTGTGATTATAAACAATACTTAAAATTATACCGCATAAGTTTCTTTTCTATGAAAAATCAATATTTATTTTAAAGAGAAATATTTACTATTTCTAACTTTTTGAATGAAGTATGAGAGGGTGAAAATATGAAGAGTAATGGCGAACGGGAAAAATAAAAGTGTCAAGGGGCGGGAATCGAACCCACAACCTTCTGCTTACCGGGCAGGTGCCATGTCCACTAGGCTACCCTGGACGTTATTTCTCCGTTCGTAAATAATACTTAAAGTAACTTATAATACATTATAAAGGACTGCGGCGTGTGATTATAAACAATACTTAAAATTATACCACATAAGTTTCTTTTCTATGAAAAATCAATATTTATTTTAAAGAGAAATATTTACTATTTCTAACTTTTTGAATGAAGTATGAGAGGGTGAAAATATGAAGAGTAATGGCGAACGGGAAAAATAAAAGTGTCAAGGGGCGGGAATCGAACCCACAACCTTCTGCTTACCGGGCAGGTGCCATGTCCACTAGGCTACCCTGGACGTTATTTCTCCGTTCGTAAATAATACTTAAAGTAACTTATAATACATTATAAAGGACTGCGGCGTGTGATTATAAACAATACTTAAAATTATACCGCATAAGTTTCTTTTCTATGAAAAATCAATATTTATTTTAAAGAGAAATATTTACTATTTCTAACTTTTTGAATGAAGTATGAGAGGGTGAAAATATGAAGAGTAATGGCGAACGGGAAAAATAAAAGTGTCCAGGGGCGGGAATCGAACCCACAACCTTCTGCTTACCGGGCAGGTGCCATGTCCACTAGGCTACCCTGGACGTTATTTCTCCGTTCGTAAATAAGCAGAAGGTTGTGGGTTCGATTCCCGCCCCTGGACACTTTTATTTTTCCCGTTCGCCATTACTCTTCATATTTTCACCCTCTCATACTTCATTCAAAAAGTTAGAAATAGTAAATATTTCTCTTTAAAATAAATATTGATTTTTCATAGAAAAGAAACTTATGCGGTATAATTTTAAGTATTGTTTATAATCACACGCCGCAGTCCTTTATAATGTATTATAAGTTACTTTAAGTATTATTTAAGAATGGAGAAATAACGTCCAGGGTAGCCTAGTGGACATGGCACCTGCCCGGTAAGCAGAAGGTTGTGGGTTCGATTCTCGCCCCTGGACACTTTTATTTTTCCCGTTCGCCATTACTCTTCATATTTTCACCCTCTCATACTTCATTCAAAATGTTAGAAATAGTAAATATTTCTCTTTAAAATAAATATTGATTTTTCATAGAAAAGAAACTTATGCGGTATAATTTTAAGTATTGTTTATAATCACACGCCGCAGTCCTTTATTATATTATAATGTATTATAAGTTACTTTAAGTATTATTTACGAACGGAGAAATAACGTCCAGGGTAGCCTAGTGGACATGGCACCTGCCCGGTAAGCAGAAGGTTGTGGGTTCGATTCCCGCCCCTGGACACTTTTATTTTTCCCGTTCGCCATTACTCTTCATATTTTCACCCTCTCATACCTCATTCAAAAAGTTAGAAATAGTAAATATTTTTCTTTAAAATAAATATTGATTTTTCATAGAAAAGAAACTTATGCGGTATAATTTTAAGTATTGTTTATAATCACACGCCGCAGTCCTTTATAATGAATTAAATCAAATACCTAAACACTAATATAATACAATTTTTGCCATCACACACACTTTTTGCTGTGGTTTATGTGTTACTTCTGTATTGCTATTCTATGGCACTTCTACTATTTATTATTGATGTACTTTCAGTATGAAGAAAATTGCACTCGGGGGAATTCTCGGGCGAAGCCGGGTCTAGTAGACATATATATCCCATATAAGATCTATATAACCCATTCAATGCATTCAATTTGAGAGCTTATTATTGTCACGAAACATTGGTTATAACATCGAACCTTTATGTCCAATAAATCTTCATAACAATTCAAAATATCGCGAAAAATCTTCAGTAAACCTGATATAATTGCGAGGAATCTTTTGACAACCAAAGCTTCAGAAAAAACTTTCTTCAAATTAGCTTAAGCCCAGGTAGATACGTTTGTTCCTAAACGTGTAGTGGTGTCTTGTCCATTCTGTTGCCCCATGGAATGGGAGGGTGCTATTGCCCCGTTAGTCAGCCACATTTCAGAGTTCCCTGTTCACGGTTACCGTAGCGGCACAGGGCTCACGACACGTACTTCGCCCTATAGTGTAGTCCCTTACTTGTGCTGCTTCTCCCGCCTGCCACGTAGAGGTTGGACTTCTGGGCTGATCCTAAACGTGTAAACTTCTTAAAATATATTTCAATAATTATTAGGGTGATCAATAATAAATGTTTACATTTGGTAGCCATAGTTTCATCGAAATTATCAGCATATATTGAATTCTATATCAGCTTTTATAAAGAGTTATTATTTGTTTCTTAGTTGGAGGAATATTTGTCCTACTTTGTTTCATATCATCACAGATTATGTATAGTATCACCATTTTGATAGCTATAGTTTAACTGTGTTTAATTTTGGTTTTGTTTTAGAGTTTTAGTTTTTTTTTTAGATCATCTCTTCTGGGTTTATATATAAAAAAGGGCGTACACCTCGATCTGTTAAAGAAAAAAAAAACAATTATTTCTCAAAATATTTCTAAGGATTGCTCCCTCTTTATCCATTTATTGCAATCCCTCGAAATACACTGCGTGACATTGAAAATGGAACACCAAGAAATAGTGGCCAGAAAATTATGCAAATTTCAGGGTAGACGCGCCTAACCGAGTTATGCAAATGATGTAAAATGCGCAGCTCTCGTGCGCACATGGAGTAAGATATAAGGGAAGGAACTTGCAGAAAGGACAGTATTCGTGTCGTTATTTCTTCAAGGAAAATCATTGTAGAAATTTTGTTCTTGTGTCAAAAGACACGTGTAATAAGAGAAAATGCCAGGTCATCGTAAACGGAGGCAGTTCAAGCAGACAGACGCTTTTACGAGGGGCATGGTGATCGGACTGAAAAGAGCAGGTTGGTCCATACGTCAAATCGCAGCTGATACACACCTTGGTGCGTCCACGGTGCACTGACTCTGGAGAAGATGGTTGGAATAAGGAAATGTGGCAATTTATAGGAATGTCGGTGCAACCAGAGTGACGTCAGCACGTGTGGATCGGCGTATCCTTCGACAAGCAGTGGCGGCCCCACAAGCCACTTGTACCGCCATCCTGCAACATGTGCAAGACACCCTAGATCATTCCATCTCGACCAGAACCATTTCCCGTCGATTGGTTGCTAATGGCTTGCACTCATGCCGTCCGCTAAGAAGACTGCCATTGACCCCACCGAATAGGCGCCAACGTTTGGAATGGTGCCGGGCTAGATCGACGTGGATGACGGAATGGCACAGGGTCGTGTTGTCAGATGAGTCGCGTTTCTGCTTGTCCAGTGATAGTCGCCGTGTACGCGTGTGGCGTCGACGTGGAGAAAGGTCCAATCCGGCAGCAATTGTGGAACGCCCCACCGTGCGACAACGTGGAATCATGGTTTGGGGCGCAATCGCGTATGTTTCCAGGTCACCTTTAATTCGTATTCAGTGCACTATGACGGCCCAACGATACGTTGATGATGTGCTGCGACCGGTGACACTCCCCTACCTTCAGGGGGTACCCAATGCCCTTTATCAGCAGGATAACGCCCGACCGCACACTGCTCGCATTAGCCAACAAGCTCTGCAAGATGTACAGATGCTTCCCTGGCTACCGTACTCTCCTGATCTCTCACCAATCGAGCACGTCTGGGACATCATTGGACGCCGTTTGCATGCCTTGCCACAGCCGCGTTCAGAAGACGAACTGTGGCAAATGGTTGAGAGGGAATGGAGAGCCATCCCTCAGGACGCCATCCGTACTCTGATTGACTCTCTACCTAGACGTGTTGCTGCGTGCATCGCCGTCCGCGGTAGTCCTACTTGCTACTAAGCCGACGCCGTTCTCGCTCTGTATTATGACTATCATTTTGAAATAAAGATCACTTATTGTTCGTCCCTGTCTCTCTCTGTCTGCCGAGTTTCATCACTTTCTGGCCACTATTTCTTGGTGTTCCATTTTCAATGTCACGCAGTGTATTTTGAGAAAAAATTGTTTTTTTTTTTTTTTTTAACTTTTTAAGAAAGTATTTTAAATTTATTATTTTCAAAAAAAAAAAGAGAGAGAAAAAACATTTAACAATTACTATTATTAATTATAATATCACTCGTTCTTTATTTCTATATTAGTGTTGGGATCATTGATTTATTATTTTAAAACGTTTTCCTTCTTTTTTTTCTAACAATCAACTCGTTTGTAGGCGCCATCCCGACCAGAGAGCCGCAGACAAACGGAATATAATAAACAGAATATGGAAGCCGAGCTCCCCAGAAAAAAGGGGATACACTGACGCTGACGTCACGCCACCACTACGCTGCGGACTTTGTTTTTGTTGTTTCCCCCCACTCGCTTGTTTTCTTTTGTAACTATTGTGTTGGAGCGGGTCGCTCCTTAAATAAATGCATGTATTAGTTTATCATTAAATGGAATCCCTTCTTTCTTTTTCCCAGTAAGAGAAGCCTACGGAAGCCAACAATATCTAAATATGTTTAAAGTTTAATAAATTAATTTTATAAATCTGAGAGTTGTCTTCAAAAACGAACCAACAATTTCCTTTTGGTTTTTAATCATCGACAAGATGTCATATATTGTTGCACCAAGTTGCAGCTTTGCCGGGTCGTCGACCTTGGTTTCCTCCTTCTTGGTGTTATACACCGAGCGGGTTTCCATACTTAAAGCAAATAAATAAAATTAAATACAAATAAATTACCTTTTAAAATTATTGTGTTTATTTATTTGTTGTCCTCGTAGGTCGTGATCCGCAGTCTTGGTCTAGGTCCTCTCTCGCTCCAATAACCAATCAAGATATGTGTACAATAACAAAATTACAAAAGGAATGAAATTATAAAAAGGAATGATGATAATCTAAATAATCTGTTCTAAATAAATATTAAATATCATAGAATATTTTGAATAAATGTAGGACGCATTAAAATTGATGCAACAATATGAATGGAAACACTTAAGATCTCTGTACACTCCGGATCTCTCCAAGTTGAGAGAAAGCTAACAAGCAAGCGATACTTTGATTAGGTTGTCACATATGTGTCTTATATACATACTGTCAGCTC